ATTCAATGCGCATCTGAATGATAATGGAAATCACGAGTACGAGTTTTGATCTGGGCGTGCAATAATTACCGCCGATGACTCCCACTTCAATGCCTTTCAATCACCATGGAAATTACATAGTTCAATCTTAGTAACGTCTCTGTTTGTACTCGTTGGTCTGTGCAACAGTCATATGAATTCCATATCTCGTGCATGCGTGGCGCGACGACCACCGCCCTATTTGCAAAATGTACATGCCCACCCCCAGAATTAAATGATCCATTCCTTATAATTTGTAGACCCGTTTATATAATGTCAAGTGACTTGTATCAGGTGTTTGTTTCATTCATAGATTGTTGGATTATATAGACTGGCGCGTGCACCACCTATGACCACGCTACTAATTTAAATACTAGTATGCCAATTTTCTTCGCATGCGCTGTATCATCTGATAGTTGCTAAATTGATGCCAATACGACCACAAGGAAACATTTTCAGACTAACAAGTAGAGAGTCAAAAGAACCACGTAAGAATAGTAAGCTAACTAATCTATCAGAAATGCCGCTCAGGGGTGTATTACATGGCTTAATTTCACGGCGATATATTTAGATATGGGTTATAATGTGTTTTGAATATGTAATTAGTTCGCTAATACGACCATCTCATGGCATTTTTAAAGAGTTTGACTATGACGAATGTCGTCTTTGGAGATAAGATAATTGTGTGAAAGTTAATCGTCTCACTGTGGAGCACGTAGTCTGAAATTAGAATTCCATGTCATTTATGTTTGTGGACACATTTAGAAAACAGTTAGTCATTCATCAGTTGTTGTGTTTTCAGTAAATTGTACAGTTGTGTTTTGAAATATAAGTTTGCAAACTTGTGTTTTCAAAAGTCCCGCCATCTTTCCTTGTACAACGGCAGGTTGCACTGGTAATCTTAATGGGACCTGCTGCTTCCATGGAGATATGACACTTCGTTGCTAAGAAACCCACCTGGTTCTCGGTAAGTTAGCGTCTTCTTTTTAAAAATAGATGGAAAACTCGTAGGTGCTAGCTACCTTCTGTTGCATTCTTACTTTTTTTCTTAGTGGTCGTTGATCACTATCAACATGTCTTTTCTAGATTATCTACTGAGTACTGAGTTTATTTACCAAGATTACACAGATGAGCGACACTGTAAATTACATGAACTAAAAACCTAAATGATATAAAAATACAATAATTTATATTGAGAAAATTAACGATAATTCAAATAAAAAAAATACATTTCACACTAATACTAGAGTTGCTATTCAATGAAAGCGAACAAAAGATTAGTTAAAGCACATGTCAGGAACAAAGGATTGCATGGTCATGAAGCACATGGCCAGAACAATAGAAACAATCTACATATCCCGTCAGTTGGTCAAATCTAACAAATTCCACTCAGTTTGGCTTGTGGGAGTTAACACTTTCTAAACAGTTGAAATGAGCTGGAATCTGAACATTCGCAAACCAACTCTGGGCTGAATGGTTCAGTGGCCAGAGAAGTGAAAGGACGAGATGCTCCTCAGATGAGTCCAATGATGTTACTGACCCAAACTGACTTCTCAGTGCTAAGTTTCATGGGAAATGCAATTTTGTGGTGAGTCTGCATAGTTAAGGTCGGCTGTTCATTAATAAAGGTAAAATAATTGGATATGGCAGATAGAGATAAAAGAGACAATGTGGTACTCCCAAAGGGCCGGACTGCATTGAATGATGAACCACGTGATCCAAAACGTGCCTCTGTCAGGACAGCAAGCTTTAAAGTTATAATGGTAAGGTGACAGCTCTTATAAAAGAAATTAATATATTGACTGGTGATCTTAGTAACAGTCCAGTTGTGAGAGACAAACTTTAAAAATGTGTGTCCACATATGAAAAATTGTAAAGAAGCTGATAACAAATACCAGGATTTCCTGACAGAAGTCAAAGGTCGTCAAGACTTCAGTAAATGGTCCATGCTACGCATGACTGTGGTGTTGAGCTCAGAAATCAAATTGATGCTTGCTTAATTGAAAATGGAGTACAAGACACAATGCTACCAGAAGATAATGTTCAATTAGGTGATAGTGTGCCAGAAACTGGCACCAGGCTTAGAAGGTCATCAAGGTCAAGCCATGTGTCACACCAAGCAGTAGAAGTGCTGCATCCATGTTAGAAAAAGCAGCTAAGAAGGCGTATGTTCGCCATGCAGGAAAAGCAAGTGCTTGAGAGGTATGAGATGCAAATACAGATAAAACAGGAAAAGTTGAAAATGCAGCAAATGGAAGCAGACGAAATCCGTAAACAGAAGCAAATGTTAGCCATTAAAGTCAAACTTGCCGAGCAAGACGCAGTGTACCAACAGTTTGAACATGGATAGAACGATAGTATGAATGATAGAGATAATATTTTGAGTGAAATGTATGTACCAAGAAGAAGGATGTTCATTTATTTAGATTACAGGTAGTACAAAGAACTAAAACATAAGACAAGAGAGAGAGAACATTTCGAAATAATAAATATTTAAAAAAATGAATGAGCAAGTAATCCATGGCTATGGCAACAGAAGATAGCAATTGTAATGCTAGGCAAGTCTGTTCCCCTGTATAAAACAGCAAAGAAACTTCTTGAGGAGGTATATGGAAACTTAAACTTACGTCAAGCAAGCAGAGGAATGACCAGATGAAGTCAAAATCGGTCTCAATGAGTTTGCATATGTTATGACCAAGTGTGACAAAGCCATGAAGGGTGAATTGCATTTGAAGGAGTTAAACCACCACAAGAATTTGGAAATGTTAATATACAAACTGCCACAGAAAATGAGATAAAGGTG